ACAAACTGCTACATTGAAATATATTCAGTCACTCAACAGCAAGCCAAGCTTTCAAATTAGCATTTGCATTAGTGAATGACTCAGATATAATATACAATTAATCTATTACAAATTTATACTGGCTCTCTCAAAATGTTAGTCACAAATTTTTCTTTTGAAAACACACTTAATTACATAATTCAAGAAAAGTGGTACATGAAGACCTAGATATCAGCCCTTTAAAAACTTAAAAACGAAGTAAAGATTAAATTTCTAATCAGAAAAAAAGTTAATTAACATGAAAATCATGTATATAATTTTTAATTTTCAAAGAGCTGACACAAATTTTCATCAATCACATGGTAACAGTTTGGCAGTAAAAACATCTGTCTTACCAAGGCAATGCACTTTTTGCTCAATCAGTGCAGAATATCAAATTTTCCTTTTTGACCAAAAAAGAGAAAAATCCTATTCATTTCACTTCCTCAAGTACCTATTAAACACAGAATCATTTAATAGTGAAGGTAATTGCAAACTCTAAAAATTGCTATTTGGAAAAAATTACTCATTATGACATTGTAATTAGAGTGAATGATAAGTTCAGATAGATGTGTGACCTATAAACATGTTTTTCGAGATATTTTTGTTGAGGAACACATCAAAATACAAGAACAGAATCAAATAAAATACAATACGTCATAGTACAAAAATGGAACAAATGAAAGCCCTGTGTCTACAGCTACTATCACTGCAAATTGTCAAAGTAGGTCATGTAGCACTGCTAACCTTGACATTCCTATCTTGAGTTACAGGGAGTCACAAGGTATATAAACTGGCCAGTGGTTTCTGGGATGTTTGCCTTTCAAGGACCATTATTCTAGCTATAATAGTTTGATCTAGTACATATCTATACCAACAATTTAAATCAAATCCTGAGAAACAAATATTTGTGTGGTATTTTGCCAATATAAAAGAAATCTCTCACATTATCATTATACAATAACTGGTGATATGTAATCATGTAGAAAACCAAATGATCAAGAATAAAAGCAAAATCATAGATAATTGTGTCATCTATTGATACTAAGTGCTGTGAATTTTGGAGTTACCAGAACATTTCATATATTTATATAATAAGTTTTAGTCATTTTTACCTCTAATCCCCTCCTTCATTGTCTTCTATACTCCACTAGAACATTCTCAACAGCACACCCCACCCTCTGCCCCAACACTTTCATATCTTCTTATGGACTGCCACTCACTGAGTGTTAATAAGACTTAGTTGCTTGAGCATGGATGGGAAATTATTTATTGTGGCAAGAACAGCATATTTATGACTACATTATTATTAAAATCATACCACCTTCCACTATACCCTACCTCAAGCTATATTTCAATATGAGAAAGTGTTTTAACTTGCCATAAAACACTACATACATAATTTTTAATTTACTAATATTGCATACATTGTAAACATATTTCCATACCTGAACTCAGTAATATGTACTTTATTATAATAATCAGTGGCATTCAAGAAAACACTGATGAATTCTACTTTTTTAGATGTTTAGAAGTTGTCATTTTTAATATAAAAATATTGTGATTATCCTATGAGCACATTCTTGTTTATAGTAGAGGCCATTTCTGAATATTTTCATTTATATTACAAGAAGAAAATGAAAACTAAGATAACAACTGAATAAAATACTGGCAAATTGAATCCAAGAACATATCAGAAAAATCATCCACCATGATCAAATAGGCTTCATCACAGAGATGCAGGGATGGTTCAACATACAAAAATCTATCAATGTAATCTACCATATAAACAAACTGCAAAAGAAAAACCACATGATCATCTCACAGGATGTTGAAAAGTCTTTGAAAAATTCAACACCCCTTCATGATAAAGATCCTGGAAAGATCAGGGATAGCAGGGACATACCTGAACATAATAAAAGCAATATACAGTAAACAAACAGCCAACATCAGAGTAAATGGAGAAAAACTCAACACAAGTTCTCTAAAATCAGTAAAAGACAAGACTGTCCACTCTCTCCATATCTCTTCAATATTTTACTTCAGATTCTAGCTAGAGCAATTAGACAACAAAAGGAGATCAAGGGGATACAAGTTGGAAAGGAAGAAGTTAAACTTTCACTACCTGTAGATGATATGATAGTTAACGTAAGAGACCCAAAAAACTCTATCAGGGAACACCTACAGCTGATAAACACCTCCAGCAAAGTAGCAGGATACAAGATTAACTCAAAAAAATAGTAGTCCTACTATATACTAATGATAAATGGGCTGAGAAAGAAATCAGAGAAACGTCACTCTTTACAATAGCCACAAAAAACATAAAATATCTTGGAGTGACACTAACCAAAATATGTAAAAGCCCTGTATAGCAAGAATTTTGAATCTTTAAAGAAAGAAATTAAAGAAGATACCAGAAAAATGGAAAGATCTCCCATGCTCTTGGATAGGTAGAATCAAAATAGGAAAAATGGCAATCTTGCCAAAGCAATCTACAGATTCAATGCAATCTCTATCAAAATACAGGCACAATTCTTCACAGACCTTGAAAGAACTATACTCAACTTTATATGGAAAAACAATAAATCCATTATAGCCATAACAATTCTCTACAATAAAGGAACTTCCAGAGACTTCACTATCCCTGACTTCAAGCACTATTTTAAAGCTATCGTCCTGAAAACAGCTTGGTATTGGCACAAAAATAGACGGGGAGACCAATGGAATCAATAGAAAATCCTGATATTAACCGACACACCTATGAAAATCTGATTTTTGACAAAGGAGCTAAAACTATACAATGGAAAAAAGAAATATCTTCAACAAATGGTGCTGGCATAACTGGATATTGGCATGTAGAAGACTGCAGATAGATCCTTGTCTATCACCATGCACAAAACTTACATCTAAATGGATCAAATACCTCAACATAAATGCAGCCACCGTGAACTTCTTAGAGGAGAAAATGGGAAGTACCCTCGAAGGAACTGGTCCAGGAGACTGCTTGTTGAACATAACACCAGCAGCACAGACAATGAGGTTGACCATTAATAAATGGAACCTTCTGAAACTTGGAAGCTGCTGTAAGGCAAAGGACACAGTGAGCAAAACAAAATGGCAGCCCACAGAATAGAAATGATATTCACCAACCCCACATCTGACAGAGGGCTGAATTCAAAAATGTACATAGAACTCAAGAACCCAGTCTCCAAAACACCAAATAATCCAATTAAAATTTGGCATACAGAACTAAATAGAGAATTCTCAATAGAGGAATCTAAAAATGATTGATAAACACTTAAGAAAGTTCTCAACAACCTTAGAGATCAGGAAAATGCAAATCAAACTAACTCTGAGATACTGTCTCACTCCTGTTAGAATGGCTAAAATCAAAAACACTAATGGCAGTTTATGCTAGAGAGGATGTGGAGAAAGGGGAACACTTGTCCACTGCTGGTGGGAGTGCCAACATGCACAGCCACTTTGGAAGTCAGTATGGAGACTCCTTAGGAAAATGGAAATCAGGCTACCACAAGATCCAGCAATTCTGTTTTTATGCATATGTTAGGAGTGATCATTGTATTTAGAATATATTGTAAATATTGTCAGTCTTTTTAAAGAATAGTTCACCCCCTCCCCAGCTTCTTAATAAGTAGACCTTGGGCTCACAGGCTCACAGGAAATAGCTGACAGCAAGAAGGTAACATTCCAAAGTTAGATCACTTAACCCCCTCCCTCTACGACCCTTTAACCTTGCCATCACCTGTTACCTGCTTACCTTCAGTGTCCTGGTTACTAGGCAACGACTCCTCCCTCACTGTCCTTCATTCTTGTGCCCATCCACCTACCTCATTTCTCTTATTTAAGCCTGTACAGAACTCTCATTAAAATGTAGCTTCATTGGAAGGTCTGTCTTACTGTCCAGCTCTCTCGTGTTTCTTGTCTCATTCATTCCAGGTTCCTGTGGGCTCAAACCCCATTGTGTCCTGCTGGTCCAGGCAGGCTTATACCCAAAAGATGTACATTCATACAATAAGGCCATCTGTTCAACTATGTTCTTTTTTTTTATTTTATTTTATTTTTAATTTTCCAGTTTAAATTTAGATAAGAAACGAGGTTGCTTCACAAGTCAGTTCCAGGTCCCTCTCCCATTCCCTCCCCTCCTCCTGTGCCCTCCCCCAAACCCCCCCCTGTTATCCCCTCATTCCCCCAGGGAGGGTGAGGCCCTCCATGGGGGTGTCCATAGTCTGTCATTTCATATAGGGCAGGGCCTAGACCCTTCCCCAAGAGTTCAGGGTGAGAGTGCACCTCACATTGTTCTATGGGAGTCCAAAGTCCGTGTGTATACTTGGGATGGGTACTGATCTGCTGCCCAAGGCTCAATAGATTCCCTAGGCCTCCTCACTGACACCCAGATTCAGGGGTCTTGATCAGTCCCATGCTGGATTCCCAGGCTGATGCCTGGGATTCAAAGAGTTAACCTTTGTCTGGTCAGCTGTTTCTGGGGGTTAAACCAGCCCAGTCTTAATCCCTTTGATCACCAGTCAACTATGTTCTTAACAACATTATTTGTAATAGCAAGAACCTGGAAGCAACCTAGATGCCCCTCAACTGAAGAGCAGATAAAGATAATTTACACAAGGGAGTACTATTCTGTGGTAAAAAAACACAATGGAATCTTGAAATTTTCAAGCAAATGGATGATACTAGAGGAAGACATTCTGAATGAGGTAACCCAGTCACATAAAGACAGACATATACGGGGGAAGTCTTTCTGTGTGTATGTTTGTCTTATTGGTTGATAAATAAAGCATTACTGACCAATAGGGAGAAACATAGGTGGGATTAGGAGTCAAGGAGAAGTCTGGGAAATGTAGGCAATAGTGTGGAGTCACCATGTGATCCCAGGAAGTGAAGAAGCATGAGGCTGATGTCCTCGGTAAGATAAAACCTCATAAAAATACATATATTAGGCCCTCTGCCTTGTCCACTGCTGCCACCTCCTTTGGTCACACCTGGTGCTGCCTGTGTGCTCCTTCAGTGTGAACTCAGTGCTTCTTTTGTGAAGCAGCATCTAAGGAGACTTAACAGCTCACCATGGCTGACAAGAAACCAAAGGAAGGAGTAAATGTTGAGAACAGCAATCTTATTAATTTGAAGGTGACAGGGCAGGATGGTTCTGTGGTGCAGTTTAAGATTAAGAGGCATACACCTCTTAGTAAACTAATGAAAGTCTATTGTGAACGACAGGGATTGTTGATGAGGCAGATCAGATTCCGGTTTGATGCACAACCAATCTATGAGACAGACACACCTGTACCGTTGGAAATGGAGGATGAAGATACAATTGATATGTTCCAGCAGCAGATGGGAGGTGTCTACTGAAAAGAGAACCTGCTACTTTACTCCAGAATTTTATTATAGACCAATAATACATTCACAATAAGAAAACCTCAATTTGGTTCCACCACATCCTGACTACTACAGTATAGTTTTCTCTATTCTTTCATTTTCTGTCCCCATTTCTTTATTGTACATAAAGTAACTGGTATATGTGCACAAGTATATTGTGCTTTTTTTCTCTTTTAAAGGAAATGGCCAATAATCTTTTTTGATTGATGTCTGATGGCGATGGTCTGGGGGGAAGTACTGGTTCCATAAAATATGCCCTTTTCTCCATTAGTGGCATGCTAATTCAGCTTTTATCTTTATATTCCAGTAAGCTATTTTGCTCACAGTGTTTTAACAAAAGAGCCCAACAACAAAATCCTTGCATACCTTATTTGACTGGAAAATTTTTAAGTTTTTCTTTTATCATTGTAAAACCAAGGACAATTTTATAACTTTTTGTACATAGCTGTTACATGTAGGGCAATCTGTCTTTAAGTAGGGGTAAAGTACTCTTGAACAAAATGATCCTAGATAGTTTTCCCTTCAAGTCAAGTACCCTGCTGTTTAAATAAGCTTCTTGTTTAAAAAAAAGACACATACACACACACACACACACACACACACATACACACACACACACATACACACACACACATATATATAATGGGTTAATACTTAAGTCAGAACTAGCCAATGAGAAGCCATGGAAATTGGCCAAAAGCATTGTAACTATTAGAGTCTCTGTGTGGGTTGATGCAGCTCTGGAACCAGGCTGGCAGGAAGAATGTTGGTTACAAAACATGGTATGATAATCACTCATATTATAGACATGGAGCTGGGAATTGCCAGCCTACAGTCCACACTGCCAGAGAGTCTGGGAAACACTGAGGACCATAAGAGAGGCATGCATGGCTACCTAGAGAAGGGAAAGAGGGCAGGATATCCTGAGCAGATTGATAGCATGGGGGGGGGAGGGAGCTGGGAGAAAGTGAGGGGGATGAAATTGAGGAGCAGGAAGGTTGAGTGGGGCGGGGTGGGGGAGCAGAATAGAGGAGAGCAGAATGGGAGATACCACAATGGAGGGAGCCATAATAATTTTGAGGTGATATCTGGTACTAGTGAAATTTCCAGAGATCTACAAGGATGACACCAACTGGCAAACTAAGCAATAGTTTTGAGGCTACCTTAAATCCTTAAATTCCCTTCCCCAATAATGTGATTAATGATTACTTTACATGCCATCCTAAAGCCTTCATCCAGTGGCTGATAGAGCAGAAGCAGAGACCCACAGCTAAACACTGAACTAAACTCCTTGAACCTAGTTGCAGAGAGGGAGGAGTGATAAGCAAAGGGGTCAAGACTGGGCTGGTGAATCCCACAGAAACAGCTGACCTGAACAAGAGGGAGCTCATGGACCCCAGACTGATGGCTGGGAAGTCAGCATGGGACTCATTCAGACCCCCTGAACGTGCATGTTAGTAAGGAGGCCTCAGCAATCTATGAGGCCTTTTAAAGTAGATCAGGATTTATCCCTAGAATATGAATGTACTTTGCAAGCCCATTCCACATGGAGGGATGCACTCTCAGCCTGAACACATGGGGATGGCCTAGGCTCTGTCCTGAATGATGAGACAGACTTTTGGGGATCACCCATGGAGAGCCTCCCTGGGGATTAGAGGGGGGATGGGGTGGGATGTTGGTGGAGGTAGGGAAAGGGAGCTGGGATTGACATGTGAAGCAGGCTTGTTTCTAATTTCAATTTAAAAAAATAAAGACGCTGGTCTGTTTTACTGACTTTCAAATGGAACAACTGATGTAATGACATCCAGAGGCAATTTTCATTTTGCTTGAAAATGTTTTTTTCTTTGTGCTGATGGAATGCCACTCCTCAGAATCCAGATTTGTATTGTGTAAATACTCAAGCACTGGCAAACCATGTCATTCTATTAAAACACAAATCAGATGGGTGCCTCCAAACTCACTATAGAAAATAGGCAGACTGTTGGAGAAATAATTTACCATACTGACCTCGACAACTAAGAAATATAGGCTCACATACTCCTGATTTTCAATAAAATACTCAAAAGTAAATACAATTTTTGTTAAAATCCTCAAAAACAGTGAAGAATAAGTAGTTATATGTCCGTCTAAAGCAATTTACTAGCATAACAAACCCATGATATTAGTCCTAGTGTTCTCCAGCACAGAGGATGTTGGAGACATCACTCATTATTTGTTTTATAAGTGGCTGGAAGAAAGGAGTTCGAAAGCTCACAATGAGAAGAAATAATAAATGCTTAAGGACATGGAAATGTTAATTATCTCACTTTGATCATTGCCCATTGTATACAGGTTTCTGATTATTATGCATACCCATAAACACAATTCTATGCTAATTATAAAGAAAAATAACAGAAGAAAAATGATCTCATCTTTTCATCTGCTCAGCAACATCATCCTGGAAAATATGAACAACCATGTTTGCAAAACCATTTAACAATGAGCTTTGTAGAAGTTAATTGCCTATTGATTAGATTTTGTCTAATGTTTATAGAGTTTCCCTAGTGTTAACACAGGATTATATATTTTTGTCAAGAGCTAAATCTTTTCTATTAGCATTTTCCCCTCTTCTTCACATGGAAACCTGTTTTGTCTTTCCACTCTTATTTGTCTGTCTTTCTTTCAGCTAGGGTCTCATGTAGCACAGATCTAGCTATGTAACGGAAGATAACCTCCAGTTCCATAGACCTTTTCTTGCTGGTAATACCCACTACTCCTGGTTTGTGCAGTGCTGAGAATTGAACCCCAAAACCTGTACATGCTAGGTAAGCACTCTACCCACAGAGAAACTCCATTTGCTTTTGCTCTTTTCTGCATTCCTCCTTTCCAATCCAATCGAACATGGAAAAAGAACTCCGGTGCAAAGTGGACACTTCTACTTCCTTGTGTGAGGAGTTCATTTAGCCTGCTAGCTATATGGCTTCATCTATTTCCCCCCTTTTTGCCAAGGATCTCAGTGAGATATTCTTTGTAATTTTGGATACCAGAATTGTGAGCTCAATTCCAAGTCCTCAAGGAGTGCTTCTATTTCTTCTGGAAAGCCCCGTATTTGCAAGGCCTGATTCAGAATATTCCCATATAAGCAAGCAATCTAGCTGCAGTCGCAGATGCTGACCACAGTACGGCTGATGTCCTGCGCACTCAGTGTCTCCTGGTCACTTGAATGGGACAACTCTTTGGGGATTTAATTACTTTTCCTGCAGTGAGACTCCATCGGGAACTGTTTGTAAGACAGTCTGAGTAATGGTTGCTGTGTTGTCATTGGCATTTTACCCACATTACCTAATGTGTGTTCATTCAGTTTCCTCTACTTCGTCAAGAGTTACACTCTGAAAGCATTTTAACCACTACTCTGACTTTGTCCTCTATTAAATCAAAACCTCCAGGCTTCATATTATTCTGAATTATCTTAGGGAGGTATGTTAAGCTCAAATTAGATACTAATGGCCTTCTAGTATACCTATTCTAATTCCTATGGTATTCAGGATGCTAGTGCTTTAAACAGAGTTCCATGCCATCTCCTTTTCTTCTCAGACTGCTTTTGTCTTACAGACAAGATTCTGTTTTCAATATGCCACTAACAGACTCATTTTCAGTCATCTTTTCTCCCTCTCCCAAGTTCGTTGCATGTCTCTATTTATGACTTCTCAGTGACTTGTGAAGAAGTGTTACCCTGTCTGATATTTTTTATATGGGGAGAAGACTAAAGAAACTTATCAGAGAATTTTAGGACTTTACCATATTAGGAAAGCCATCAAACCCCTTGTGTACTCAATTTTCTCACTGATAAAGCAGTGATGAAAACTAAGTTCTCTTAAAATTGACAGTTACATTGCATCTGTGATTGATGAACTACACTGCTAATACATTTCCCCATATTGTAATCTATCCCACTATGAATATATCTGAAGATGGGGATGTTAGAAAATAATCTTAATTGTTTTCCTATCTCTCAGAAACTATACTAACTAAAGTAACATTAATATGGAAAGGTTTCTTTTGGCTTACAGTTATGTGATGCAGTCTATCATGACAGACACATCATGGCACCTTAAATGCAAGGCAGCTCATCACTTTATAGCCACAGTCAGGAAGTAGTAAGATACTTGCTACTGTTCATCTTCATTTCTCCTTTTATTCAGTCTAAAACTGAAAACCTTGGAATGGGTCTATGGAAAATTAATATTGGCCATCCCACCTTAACCCGAATCTAAACAATCTACCACAGGTGTTTCTACCTCAGACTATTGTTCCTAAGTGATTCTAGAACCTTTCAGTTTAGGAGTTGATATTAGCCACCACAGATGAGGTCCTGAGGCCAGGGTTATCATGGTAGGATTGGTGTCTTTCTAACAAGAGATCTAGGAGGCTCTTCTCTATTTGCATAAATACACTCTGAATTACCCTCATGTATGCCTACAATAGACCCTCACAAAAAGCAACTATGCTGCTCACTGATCTCAAGAATTGTAAGAAACACAATTCTACTATCCATACCATCTCAGCAGTGGCAATCTACTATGAAAGCCAAAGCTAAAAGATGCATTATTTACCTTACCGGCACACTATGTAAAATATGATGAGAGACTTCTAAACTAATAATCACAAAACTAAAAGTATGACATAGGTACGTCATTATAAATACTGCAAATATTTCAAAATATAATTTGTAAAGGCTAACCACATCTTGCAGGCAAGAATTGGCATGAGCACAAGAATATGCTGATGACCAAATTCATGGCTTTCTGTGTTGGGGGAGTTTCTGCAGGGGAATACCTTCTTTTCAGCCCTTAACTTATTTTCTGTGTTGTCTTCAACTACCACCCCTATGAACTAGAAATTTTTCTCTCCTTCCCTACTTCTTCCTCCAGAGTACTGACATTGCTTTAAGTTTACACTTAGAAGAAGAATTGGGGCTAATGTTAAGTGTTTAA